GTAGTTACCAAGTATCAACCACCAACCACGTAACAAAGGTTTTACACATATTACTTTATTAAACTGACAATGACAAAATCCCTCCCAGATAAGTATCATTATACTAGTAGCAGTGTTTTGCAGATGATGAAATTGAGTTTAGAGAGGTCAAGAGATGCACTCACAGACACAGAACTACTAAGTCAGGGAGCTGGAACTTTATTCTAAAGTTCATGCCCTTTGTGTGAATACTTACTGCCATTTTATTTCACATTTCATTTGGTTTCCCTTTCTCAACCTTTTCCTACCTCTAGCTCCTTTTCTTTTTTTTTTTTTTTTATTTATTATTCCAGGGTTTTGTGAGGGTACAAACATTGTAGTTACACTTTATGTCTTTGCCTCACCCAAATGCGGGTTAAAGGCGTGCCCTTTCCTCCCTTTAGTGCTCCCCATGTCCTTTAGTTGTAGATTTGCCCCCCCATCCCCCTAAACCCTAGGGAGTATTTCTGCCATGTGATCAACCTAGTGTTGATCAGTTAGTACCAATTTGATGGTGAGTACAAGTGGATCCCGTTCTTCTGCTCTTTTGGTGCCTCACTTTGGATAATGGGCTTAAGTTTAATCCAGGAAAGTATAAGAGGTGCTAGATCACTGTCGTTTCTTATGATTGAGTAATATTCCATTGTAAACATATACCAAATTTTGATAATCCACTCATGGATTGACGGGCACTTGGGTTGTTTCCACATTCTTGCAATAGTGAATTGTGCTGCCATAAACATTCGGGTGCAGATGTCTTTACCGTAGAATGTTTTGTGCTCTTTTGGGTAGATGTCTAATAGTGCTATTGCTGGATCAAATGGTATTTCTATTTTTAGCTCTCTGAGGTATCTCCAAATTCTTCTCCACAGAGGTTGCACTAATTTGCAGTCCCACCGGCAGTGTAAAACTGTTCCTGTCTCTCCACATCCTCGCCAACATTTGTTGTTTTGTGTTTTTTTGATAGAGGCCAATCTCACCGGGGTTAGGTGATACTTCATTGTGGTTTTGATTTGCATTTCTCTAATGATTAGAGATGTTGAGCATTTTTTTATATGTTTGCTGGCCATTGTTCTGTCTTCTTTTGAAAAGTTTCTGTTCATTTCCCTTGCCCATTTGTTGATGGGGTTGTTTGATTTTTTCTTGTTGATTTTTTTGAGTTCCAGATAGATTCTGGTTATCAGCCCTTTATCAGATGTGTAGAGAGCAAATATTTTTTCCCATTCTGTGGGCTGTCTATTCACCCTAATGATAGTTTCCTTGGCAGTGCAGAAGCTTTTTAATTTATTTATTTTTGTTGCTGCGGCGATTGCTTTGGGGATCGTCTTCAAGAATTCCTTGCCTAGGCCGATGTCTGAAAGGGTCTTCCCAACATCTTCATTTAGAATTCTTAAGGTTTCATGCCTTAGGTTTAAGTCTGTTATCCATCTTCAATTGATTTTTGTGAGAGGTGAGAGGTGGGGGTCTAGTTTCAGTCTTCTGCATGTAGCTATCCAGTTTTCCCAGCACCATTTATTGAAAAGAGATTCTTTTCCCCAGTGTATGTTTTTGTCAGCTTTGTCAAAGATTAGATTACCATATGCAGATGGTTTCATCTCTGGATTCTCAGTCCTGTTCCAGAGGTCAATGTCTCTATTCTTGTGCCAGTACCAAGTTGTTTTAGTTACTATAGCCTGGTAGTATAGCTTAAAGTCTGGTAAACTGATACCTCCCAGTTTGTTCTTTTTACTTAAGATTGCTTTGGCTATACGAGGTCTTTTCTGGTTCCATACAAAGCGCAGAATTATTTTTTCCAGATCTGTGAAGAATGATAATGGGATTTTGATAGGGATTGCATTAATTCTGTAGATCACTTTAGGTAGTATGGACATTTTAACAATATTGATTCTAACAATCCATGAGCAAGGTAGGTTTCCAATAACAGTCAAGCAGAAGATCAAATCAAAAACGCAATTCCTTTTACAATAGCCTCAAAGAAAATTAAATATCTAGGAATATATTTAACGAAAGATGTAAGAGACTTATACAGGGAGAACTACGAAACACTAAAAAAAGAAATTGTAGAGGATGTAGCTCCTTTTCTGTCTGTCTATTCCCTATATTACTTCCTCCCTCTTTTCCGCTGATCTGTGCCTCAAGCCAGCTCCAGGGCTATCACATCTCTTACCAAAATCACCTTTTAAGAAGCAGGTCAGGTCACGGGAAGCACTTGCTCAAAGACCTCCAGGTTCTACACACCACTTCCTTTGTATTTCTCCTTTTGCCCTGTGAGAGGGGCCTAGGCAACCTGAAAAAGATTAGATCTAGATGCCTCTACTCAGCATGTACCATCCATGAAAAATTCTTTCATTTTCTTTTTTGAGAGAGCATAAAAGTTTTCCACAATAGAATATATACTAAAAAGCAAAGTGTCTTCTCTGTTCTTGTTGAAGCTAGTTGATGGGTGCATGGGGGATCATTTTACTATACTCTCTACTTTTGTGTATGTTGAAAAGTATTTTTTATGAAAAAAAGACCAAAAAACCCACTCTTCTCTGTACTTGGGATTCAGCAACGGCTTTCTTTTCTTATCGCATATTCTCTATTTAACATTATGGTGAAGAAACAATTTTCAAAATAAAGTCTCGAAACAAGAAAAGGCTAATTTCTGAAATAAATTTCTTATGACCCCAAGATTAGGCCAAACTTCCTAAACTACTTAAATAAAGACAAACTTACTCATGTATTTTCTCCCTTTTCGATTCTTCCCTTTTTTTTTTTTCAATGTTACCAATTTCATATGTATGGGGTATATAGATGCAGACAAATGGAAACATGTCTTAGAAGTAAAATACGATTCAGGTGAAAGCCTACATCCAAAGGTTTCTGAATCAGATACATTCGCCAAGCCTCCTGCTCCCACTCTGTAGGTTGTCTACTCATTCTGTTGATTATTTCCTTTGCTGTGCAGAAGCTTTTCAATTTAATTAAGTCCCATTTATTTATTTTTGTTGTTGCTATATTTGCCATTGGGGTCTTAGTCATAAATTATTTTCCTAGGCAGATGACCTCCTGCTATTCTCATGGAACAAGGGCAATCTTAGTAAACCACCTTGTGAGGCATCCTAGAAGAGTAATGGACATGACATGGCTACTTGATTCCTAAAGAGTTGTGTCTTAAAGGCTCTAAGGTCTCAATTTTATATTTCACGCAGGCAACTAAGTTTTTGCCATTTCTCATGACAACATATTTCCCCTCTCGCTCCAGCCAGCCACAATGCAGCACCAGATGAAAGGGTGCCTGGACTCATCTATCATCACAGTTATAAATTAATTCCATCCTCATGGTAGGTCAGTGTTGCCATCTTTCTTGATGAAACAGAATGTTGTTAATTATTTCACTGGATGCCAAACTACTTTCCTTAGTCATTAATAAACAAGTTTGCTACATACAAACAGAATGCAAAAAAAAAAAAATTGGAGGAAATGAAGCAAAAATAATTTTTCTCTTTCTAAGAAATAATATTGAATGGATAGTCTCTCTTTTTTTTTCTGATAATTTGACTCTTTCTGTCTCTTTTGTCTCTTAAATACAGATTTTTCTGGCCTAGCTATCTTCACAAGCATATGTTCTCAAGAGGCAAATTCACACAGAAAAAAAAAATCACAATAATTGTTAACATGTATTTATATGCACCTGAACTGACCTTACCTTACCTTTTCTATGTTGCAGGCACTGTTCTACGTGCTTTACTTGCAGTGGTTCACTTAAACCCCACAATAAATCTATGGTCAGTATTTTTATCCCAATATTACACTAAAGAACCAAATGTACAAAAAGATGTAGTAAGTTGTCCTAGCTTGCAGAGTTTTCAACTTGACTAATACATCCAATTCAAAAGTGACTCCCATTCCCAATACAACTCCTCCCCGAAATCTCAGCACTTTAACACCAGTTATTTTTCTGCCCCCCCATAACTTGTTTAATTTTATTTTTCTTAAGCATACATTTAAACATGTGGCTCTTGTTTTCAATTACCTCTGTTAGAAATTGAATAAAATCTAAATATCCTTCACCAATGGGAACATTAAACAAACTAACAGCACTTTCCTATTGTGGAACATTATGCAGTCATTAAAAAGAAGGAAGCAAATATACAAATATAGTAACATTAGAATTCATGCATAATACATCACTGAGTAAAAGGAGCCAGTTACAAAATGATATGACTCAGCAAACAAATGTCAGACACTCACATACGTCAAAGTATATAGAAAAATATCTGGAAAGATATATGTCAAACTCTGGAGAAAAGAATTGAGAAGTGGGGGAAATTTTTTAAATTATCTATTAATATTTTATCTTATATTTGTGAATTGCTTGAATTTTTATAATCGACTCAAATTCTTTACCATGCAAAAAATAAAGTTATCAATATGCTGATAGGCTAAATATATTTGATGGCACTCACTATTTAGCTAGCCACCGACCCTGCATTATTGACTCCATTTTATTTTTTCAACTTTATTTTCCATTTCCTCTCCCATACATAACCTGGGTGCCAATTATACTGGGATTTATCTTTTCTATAAACACTGCCTGGATTTTCTAATGTTTCCACTTCGACCCAGAGTATCTTCTTTTTTCTTAAATTCAATCTTTCTAAAGAAAAATGTGTACATATTATATATTAAATTTCCATATATACTTTGTAAAAGAAAAAAGCAAATATTCAAGAAATTTTCTGCATTTTGAATCAATAAGTTTTAGTAATTCTGAGTACACTACTTCTTAAATTATGTAAGATGCCAGAATATAATAAAAAATTAATAGTTACAAAGTTTCTGAACAGATAACTATTCTCCTTATAAAAGGATGACTTTCTTAAACGTTAAAGATATTGTGATAGCTTTGAATAATTTTTATGATGAAATAAGATGCGAAAGAGGAAAAAAATACATTGCACCTAGAAATTTAAACAATCAAGAGACATGTTTCTTACCATTGTGAGGGTAAATGGATGGTTTTCTAATGCAGACACTCTGGGACAATGTAGAATAATATACTAAAAAGCAACAAACAGATAATTTTTAAATGACCAAGAAAGAAATTTAACTATTCCAATGATGCTATGTCTGCAAATTTTCAAAAATTACATAAGGATTAAAGGCTATTTTAAAAGTTGCTGACCACTGACTCACCTGGCCAGGTCTTGCTTTAAAATTTTCTTTGATCATTCGGATTTCTATGACGTCTGAGGGATGACTTATGACTGATATGATTGTGACTGGCTTATTGCTCCGGAAACATCTGTAAAGTCTTTCAGCACAGTATAGGCACAAAGGCCCAGAAATCCAAAGCCAAGTCTGAGGGAGAAGTTTTGAAAATAGATTTCAAAAAATACTTGTATTTTAGGAAACTATACCCTGTCCAATTGTTTATTTCATACATTACAATACTAATATTTTAATGTGTATTTTAAACAATAAAATATAATGAAAATGAGTAAAAAATGACAAATGCTCAATGCAACACATTCAGACAAAACTAAAGTATAAAATATAGGTTATTAAGTATGAAATGTCCGATTTCCTTATGTACTAAGTTTGACAGTTAATATATGTGACATTTCACTTTGACACTTCTTGTTTTATTTTTATTGTAAAAGTACATCCTCATTCTTTTGAAGGCATGCTCTGACTTGAGATTATCTTTCAAATTTTTTAGAACAGTTTTTGTACAACCATAGATAAGTAAAAAATTCATATTATTTTCAAATATGAGTTCTGCTGTAAAACCAATACAATACAGACAACTCAAAATATCAACGAAGTGTTTGGAAAGGATGTGGCTAATGAACAGTACCTCAATGGTTTAAAAAGTTCCATTTTGGTAATTTTAATCTTAAAAATGAGCCATATGGATGACCTGAGACCAAGGTAGATAATAATAAACTAAAAACTGTAGTGGAAGCGAATTCATCTCAGCTTACACATAAATTAACAATAACGTTTGACAGTACTATTCCAACAATATTAGAACCATTTAAAACAAATTGACAAGGTAAAGAACCTGGATAGATGGGTATTACATAAATTAAACAAACATCGAAAGAAAAATCATCTTGAAGCTTGCCTTTGTTTGCTGTCACGACATAAAAGTGAACCATTTCTATACCGTGTTGTTACGTGTGATAAAAAATAGATTCTTTTTGACAATTATAAGTGTTCGGCATAATGACTGGATAAAGATAAAGTGCTGAAACACAGTCCAAAGACAAATCAAAAAAAGCTAATGGTGTCTGTTTGGTGGTTCAGCACTGGTATTATCCACTACAGCTTCATGAAACCTAGTCAATCGATTACAGTAGATATGTACTGCAACCAATTGGATGAAGCGATGAAATAGCCGAGATTGGTCAATAGAGACAGGCCAATCCTCTTACAAGACAACACTGGACCACAAGTCACACAAACAACGCTGCTCAAACTACAGAAACTGAACTTTGATACTCTCTGTCATCCACCATATTCACCAGACCTTACACCAACTGACTACCACTTCTTCCAGACTTTGGACCACTTCTTACAAGAAAAAATATTCAATTCTCAACAAGCTGTGAAAAATGCCTGTCACAATTTCATCACCACTCGCTCTCCAAGCTTTTTCACTGCTGTCATAAACAAGCTACTGTTAAGATGACGAAACTGTGTCAATAGTTTAGACACATACTTTGATTAATTGTACTGTTTCTTGTCTGAGATATAATAAACTAAACTTTTGATTCAAAATTGGACATTTCATGTTTAATGACCTAATAAAAAAGAAAGTAATGTCAAAACCCTACATTCAAACCCATGCCCCAGGTGTAACTACCATGAACGAGCAAGTGTACACTCCTTCATAAATCCTTTTATGCACACAAATATATAATGTACATACACAGTATCTTTCTTCAAATAAAGAATAAAGGTAAGTTCAAATTTCAGGTGAATCTGAGGATGATTTTAGGAAAAAAAAGTAACAATCCAATGTTCATTAAAAAAAGAAAACCCGGCCGGGTGCAGTGGCTCATGCCTGTAATCCTAGCTCTCTGGAAGGCAGAGGCAGGCGGATTGTTTGAGCTCAGGAGTTCAAAACCAGCCTGAGCAAGAGCGAGACCCCGTCTCTACTAAAATTAGAAAGAAATTAATCGGACAACTAAAAATACATAGAAAAAATTAGCCGGGCATGGTGGCACATGCCTGTAGTCCCAGCTACTCAGGAGGCTGAGGCAGGAAGATCGCTTGAGCTCAGGAGTTTGAGGTTGCTGTGAGCTAGGATGACGCCACGGCACTCTAGCCCGGGCAACACAGTGAGACTCTGTCTCAAAAAAAAAAAAAAAGAAAAGAAAACCCTAGATTTTTAATATGCATAATGTATATGCATAATATACATGTATATAATATATGCATATAATGTTAAATATGTATAACATATATATTTTTAAATGGGATATGCCAGGCATGTTGTTAACAACTTTTACATAGTATGATAAGAATAGAAGATAACATTTAGAATTTGGAAACCATGACAATTTTGAATGTGTGCTACATAGATAACCCTGCTCCTAGGATACTTACATACTCTGAGTAGCGTGCAGTATGTGAATATTATGCACATCACTTTGAGGCCTCAAACTAAAACTCATTTTAATGGTCACTTTTTTAATTAAACTTTATTTATATAGTTCTTCTACACCTTCCTTTTTCCATGCAGACAGATCATACTTCTTCTTCATATGGTGACATTTAGCCCTACATTGTGAAGCGTGTGCATTGCAGAACAAGTTCTGCAATGTAACAGTCTCGCAACTTTGGGACAGTCACTTACCCTTTAAGCATCAGGTCCCAGATAAGTAAAATGGGATTCACCATACCCACCATGCCTAATATTCAGCATTATGTGAAGCTCAGAAAAGTTCTGATAATTCTAGAGTCCAATAGAAATCCAGAGGATTATTATTAATAATAATAAACACAAGACTAGCACACTATCCCAAAGTCATTTGCAAATTCATTATAGCTTTTGACTTCTCTTTCTTCTCTTCTTAAAACAGACATTTGACATCACTATTCTACTTGGTATAGACCAAGAGTAAAGGGTGTAATTTGCATGTGGGCAGTGCTCACAGGCACAAGGGAAGATTACGGGCCTTACTGAACTATTAATAATTTCTAGGTATGTCAGAAAGAAATTTTCAAAGAGCAATCATTTTAGTCAAAGACCTGGGTTTGCATGCTATCTATGCCACTTACTAGTCTGGAGACATTGGTCAATGTATTTTATGTATTTAAGCACAATTTCTTCATCAGAAAATTGAGGATGATATTAATTGCTACAGAGAGTCACTGTAAATATTGCACACAGAACATTTTAGCACAGTGCCCAGCTGATAATATTAAGCATTCAATAAATTGATTTTTACCACTTATTATTTGCAATATTATACATAATATTATAATGCAATATTATACTACACTATAATAATAATTAGCAGCAGTAGTAGTAGTTTTTTTACTACTCTTATTATTATTCAGCTTTTCTCAATAAATGTGGAGAATACATTTGTCATCTCTCTGGCAGCAAGTACCAGTGCCACAGTATGCAAAGATTATACGATCAGTCAAGCAGAAATTTTCTATATTCTCTAATATCACAGGTCTTTTGCCTTGAACTGTCAGGTAGCTACAATAGAATAAGAGGCATTAACTTGTTGTGGAAATATCCTGAAATATTCTATTATACGTGAATACAGAGCTTCAAAAACTTGTTTACATGTGATGTTGATCTGTTGTATGGAAACATAGACTTTGCAGAGATCAAACACAGAATGAATCTGACCTGTGGAAAATTAGCCTGGAACCTGGGCTCTTCCACACAAATCTTCACAAATGTGTTCTGGGTAAGCACTTCTGATTTTGCAAATCCTCCAGGGGAAGATTCATGAATACGTTCTGAGAGATATTCTGGTAAGGAACTATTCTGAGAGCAGATTCGGTTAAGATTGATACAGCCAGGAGGGTGGGTATCTAAATTAGTTTGATACTTCAGCAGCCCTCTAAAATTAAATTAAAAAACAAACAAACAAACAGAGATAAAAAAGAGATTGAGATCAGGGGACACAGTAAAAGAAAATAATCTCTTTTTCTTGCTAACTTTACAAAGCATTTATCTGAAAAGTACACCTTATGAATTGTATTTAAGAGAAATTGAGATCTCAAAAATGTTAATAAATTCTTTACTAAAGGACTAAAACAAAATTTTTGACTCTAAAAACAAATGCTACAAATGTGTGACAGGGAAGGACATATGCAATCTTTCCAAGTAGTCTTGAATTTGACAGCCTTTACTTCATAGACATTCATACACTCATATACAAGTTTTCATTTCAGTAAACACTGTAATACTTTGCTATATCTCCAAACGCAAAGGAAAAATACAGGGATCATATTTGATTTGGCTAAGGCTAAATAAAATAGCCTTACAGATATACAGGAAAATGTTAAACAAAAATAACAGGAATCTGTCTCTCTTATAGTCTGAAACCAATGTATACACAGCAATCAGGTCCTAAATGTGTTTACTTGACAATTTCTCTAAAAACAGAACCACATAAAAAGCACAAAACAATAAATCAGGCAGGAGAGGCTTAAACCTTAACAATCTCATTCTGATTGTTTCTTCTTTTGTGACATTCTAAGACAAATCATTCAACTTTCTGTGTTCTGTAATTCTTATCAATAAGGAGTTAAGTAAGATCTACCTCATGGGGATAATTCATAAAATGATAGATTGTACAGAGCATCAACAAGATCACTGATGCATAAGCAAATCTTGAAGGAAAAAGTAAGATTTAGAAAAGCATTGAAAATTTTGCAGTATATTTTATTTTTATTTTAAAGAATACCAGGAAAAAATTATTTCCAAATCACTTCTTCTTGGTTGGCTAAGAGTGTGTCATTTTAAAATTATCCTTCTTGCTCCCAAACAATTGATTTTAGTAGCTTAAAAAGTATATCTTTAAATGTGCCACAGCTATAATGCTTTTTAAAAGACAGTATTTTAAAACAAACGCTATAATATAAATAATGATACCAACAGATCCAATATATGAAAGTCAGAAAAGCAATGGCCAAGGCAGTCTGTCATGGTATTCACCATCTCTCCAACCTTTTCCCCCCTTTGTTCATGTTCAGTTTCTTTTCTTTCTTCTTTTCATTTTACTTTCTTCCTTAAAACTAGTCATCATGAAGTCATTAGGGAGCATTCAGCATGTGTCAGGGGCATCTAAGTAGTAGAGGGCTACGTTTCATGACATCCATAGTAGACCACAGACACACATATTTTTTTAAAGAAATAGAGTAGATATGGCCACGGTACAAAAAAATTGATGGATATTACACAAATGTGTTCCTTCTTTTGTCATTAAACCTTCACAAAGTTCTAGTCACATAATATAATTGCTACGATATTATACTTGAACAACGCATGAATCTGACTTAGCTTTAATTACAGTTAATTATTTACCAAAACCTGTTGCTGCCACTGACCATCCCAGGGGTAGTAGCTGACAGGTGAGTAGGTCAAAAAACACAGGCAGTTATTCTACTGGCCGTAAGTTGAACAAACACAGGCATTATGGACTTAGCACAATTCCAGGTTGTGCTACAGAGTTCAATGAGCAGTCAAATCTCGATACCCTCCACAAACTTAAAATCTTGTTTGGAAAATATCTTAGGAGAAGCTGAACATAAGTCAAACCATAGATAATAATTGGAATAAAGTATGTTAATAATCTCTTAATAACATATGATAGATGCCAGGTCCAGCACAGAGAAATTTATATACATTTCACATTATCCTCATAAAAAATTGCATGAACTAGGAACGATTATTTTTATTTTACAAATTAAGAAACTATTCTAAAAGATTGAATAATACCCAGGGTCACACAGCTGATAAGTAGCAGAGATAAGATTTGAACCCAAATTTGAACTCTTCACCTACTATGATTCAGCACATTAAGTCATTGGATCCTCACAAAATACCTCTGAAAAAAGTAAGGAAAGAGGAAGACTAATACTTACTAAAAAATATCATGTCAGGAATTTTTAGAATATCTATATTTCACATTTAAATTTCAAAACAGCATTCCTATACGTCAACAACAGTCAAACTGAGAATCAAATCAAAGACTCAATACCCTTCACAATAGCAACAAAGAAAGTAAAATACCTAGGAATATATTGAACTAGGGAGGTAAAAGACCTCTCCAGGGAGAACTATGAAACACTGAGGAAGGAAATAACAGAGGACGTAAACAGGTGGAAAACCATATCATGTTCATGGGTTGGCAGAATCAACATTGTTAAAATGTCTATACCACCCAAAGTGATCTACAGATTCAATGCAATCCTTATTAAAATACCAACATCATTTTTCACAGATCTAGAAAAAATAATTCTACGCTTTGTATGGAACCAGAGAAGACCCCGTATAGCAAAAGCAATCTTAAGCAAAAAGAACAGATTGGGAGGCATCAATTTACCAGACTTCAAGCTACACTACAAGGCTACAGTAACTAAAACAGCAGGGTACTGGCACAAGAACAGAGACATAGACCAAGGGAACAGAACTGACAACTAAGACATAAAACCATCCTCATATAGCCATCTAATCTTTAACAAAGCAGACAAGAACATACACTGGGGAAAAGAATCCTTATTCAACAAACGGTGCTGGGAAAACTAGATAGCCACATGTACAAGTCACATGTAGAAACCACATATAGAAACAGGATCCGCACCTTTCACCTCTCACAAAAATCGACTCACGGTGGATAACAGATTTAAACCTAAGGTGTGAAACTTTAAGAATTCCAGAAGAAAATGTCGTAAAAACTCTTATAGACATTGGCCTAGGTAAAGAATTCATGAAGAAGACCCCAAAGGCACAATCACAGCAACAACAAAAATAAATAAATGGGACCTGATCAAATTAAAAAGCTTCTGCATAGCCACGGAAACTATCATGAGAGCAAACAGACAACCTACAGAATGGGAGAAAATATTCATATGTTACACATACAATAAAGGGCTGATAACTAAAATCTATATAGAACTCAGCAAAATCAGCAAGAAAAAAATCAAACAACCCTATCAAAATGTGGGCAAAAGACATGAACAGAAACGTTTCAATAGAAGATAGACTAATGGCCAACAAACATATGAAAAAATGCTCAACATCTCTAATCATCAGGGAAATGCAAATTAAAACCACAGGATCATTTATCTCCAGTGAGAATGGCCTTTATCAAAAAGTCCTCAAACAATAAATGTTGGCGTGGATGCGGAGAGATAGGAACATTCACACACTGCTGGTGGGACTGCAAACTAATACAACCTCTGTGGAAAGTAATATGGAGATACCTCAAAGAGCTACAAGTAGAACTACCATTTGATCCAGCAATCCCATTACAAAAAACCAAAGCCATTCCATAAAAAAGACGTCTGCACTCGAATGTTTATAGCAGCACAATTCACAATTGCAAAGATGTGGAAACAACCCAAGTGCCCATCACTACATGAGTGTATTAATAAAATGTGGTATATGTATACCATGGAGCTCTACTCAGCCATAAAAAACAATGGGGATCTAGCACCTCTTGTATTATCCTGGATAGAGCTGGAGCCCATTCTCCTAAATGAAGTATCACAAGAATGGAAAAACAAACACCACATGTACTCACCATCAAATTGGTATTAACTGATCGACACTTACGTGCACATATAGTAGTAACATTCATCGAGTGTCAGGCAGGTGGCAGGGGAGGAGGGGATGTGTACATTCATGCCTAATGGGTTCAGTGCACAGCATTTGGGGGTGGACATGCTTGAAGCTCTGACTTGGGTGAGACAAAGGCAATATATGTAATCTAAATACGTGTACTCCCGTAATGTGCTTAAATAAAAAAAAAATCCAGCTCCCATCTATTTTCATAATAAACTTTTACTGAAATACAAGAAAAAAAAGGGAACATTCTTGTATGTATTGTTGTATCTTTCATAAATAAGTGATAGATAATTTTCAAGTGAAAAATAGGAAGGGAAAAAGATGCTAGTGAATGGCAAACAGACTCTGGTCATGTTAAGACAATGACACAGAGAGAGATGAGGGAAGTAGGCACACAGACTATGGGGAAACAGAAGTGCTTATTATTCATCTCTAAGTTACTTTGTATGATACTGTAAAGGAGAAAGTTTGAAGTATCTGTAGAATGCCTGGTACTCTCCTCTAATAAGAAAAAAAGATTTTATGATGTATCAAACTGCAAGGTTGTGGATACCATAGTTTTTATACTCACAAGGATCTTAAGATGTGCTATCAGCATTTGACAGTGTTTCAGAATTATATTAATAGGTTCCTTTCTTTTTTCCTTTTTTTCTTCAAGAAGCACCATAGTTATCTTATCAGGTTTTTTGTTTTGTTTTTTTTGTTTGTTTATTTGTTTTTAATGCCTGGCTATGATAAATTCATAGAAAATAATACAACACATCGAATGAGTGCTACTAGTTTATAACATACAATCATAAAACAATTTTATGGCAAAAGCTAAATATGAAAAAATACCACACCTGCCCCTGCCCCCAAATCACAAAATCATCCCTACTTTAATTTGCTGTTAAAAATACCTAACAAATGCAAGGAAACTCATGTGACTTTTGTTTTTGGTGATTTTAATCCTGGTTTTAAAAAGAGGATAAAAAATGTTGTTTCTTAGGAACCTATTTTTTCCTAGTATTCTATAACATGATTTTTTTTTTTACAGTAAAAATATAACTTGTTTCTGACAGTTCTTTTTACTTTGCTTTCAAGTACAAAGAAAAAGCCTTTAAGTCAAGAAAATAAAACCAAATTCTACATCTCAAAATCCATTGCAACCCTCTAGCGTCTGTGGGATCCACTAGAATGCATACTCCTTAAGGTCAAGGGTTTGTTCTGCTCCAGAGCTATTTTTCTGGTGCCTAAAGCAGTGACTATAACTTATAGCAAGTGTTC